GATTGTGTGGGGGGGTGTGGGGGTGTGTGTTGTGTGGGTATGGGTGTATGTGTGTGTGTGTGGTGTGGGGGGGTGGGGGTGTGTGTGTAGGGGGATTGTGGGGGAGTGTGGGTGTGGGTGTTGTGTGGGTATGGGTGTGTGTGTGTGTGTGTGTGTGTGTGTGTGTGGTGTGGGGGGCTGGGGTGTGTGTGTAGGGGGATTGTGTGGGGGGGTGGGTGTGTGTGTTGTGTGGGTATGGGTGTGTGTGTGTGTGTGTGTGTGTGTGGTGTGGGGGGCTAGGGTGTGTGTGTAGGGGGATTGTGTGGGGGGGGGTGGGTGTGTGTGTTGTGTGGGTATGTGTGTATGTGTGTGTGTATTGAAAGAGAAAGGGAGAGTGGGGGAGAAGGGGAGAAAGAGAAGTGCATGCTAACAACTGATGAATCTAGGTAATGTTTGTATAAAAGATCACTGTACCATTAAAACTTTCCTGTAAAACTGAATTTTTTTAATGAAAAGTTTCAAAACTTCATTGAGAAAAATAAGAACGCATATACAGCTTTGGTCTTTTCATTCGGGCAAATCCATCTCGGGCACAGTGCATAAAGTTATGCTCCCCTTTAAACCGTAGCTTTTGAACTTTCAGATGAAATAATGGTAAAAGGAACTCTCCCCACCACTGCCCACTGTCATCTCCACTCCCACTGCCCAGCCAACCTGCTCCAAGTTCGAAAAATTAACCTACAGTTTCGAGCATGACATTCTTTTGGATAAAGTGTTAAGTTTTAAGTACAATTGCTACACAGATGAAAAAGTTGTGCTAAAGAGAGAATGGGGGCACAGTTACAATTCTATTATTTATAAAGCAGTTAAGCACTTAATTTTTAATAAACACTGAAAAAAACTCTCCAGCTCTAAGGAATGTTCTAAGTAAATTAACAACTTATCAATGAGTGATATAAATGTAGCTAAATATTAATAGCAAATGAACAGGAAGACTGATTTTATACCAAAGTTTTCTTTGTAATATGATAATTCATAAATTGTTTTTTATTTTCCTATAAGCATTTTTAAGAAATCTAGCTTGACCAATATCCATATTATAATAATAGCATAGATTCCTATTTTTATAGACTACATTTGGATTTCTGATTCATCAGGATATATTACAAGGACGCTAACTTTTAGAACCCTTTCCTCCTAACAGCTAGCAACTCAGATCCCAAATCCACAAGCAAGAGACATACTCTCAACTACCTAGTGAATCAAGGCAGACAATGTAGGCAATTAAGCAGGACAGGTAGGACCTGTGGAAACTAGCAAGCTCCTGACACAACTAAAAATCTATTTTACTTCCAGCTTATTGTTGCCATGGCAGAGTGTAGGATCAGAATTAGCAGATATCCTCACTTTTCAAAAGGAATTTGAAATATGGACTATATACAAAACTTCCTAAAAATTCATAAGGTTAACATCCTTTAAAAAGTTTAAAACACCCAGTAGCCAAACAAAAACCTCTTAAACACTTCTACCAGTATCATCAATTTGCAACCTCTGCCTTAAAGCGGCAGTTCACTTAAAAATCCAAGTTCTGGTTCAGTGACAGAAAAAGGCATACATTAATTTAGCTGATTTTTTTTTTTTGGCATTCCACTTAATAGGTGAAACTAACATCTTATTTGAATCCATCTCTTTATATTTAGTTTCCAAAAATAATTCCATAAAAGCTAATCTTAAAAAATCAATTCTTTCAAGGAAAGTTCCACTAGGTTAATGGTAAATCTTTAAACTTAGCTGATTCTGTATACAAAAAGTCAGGAAAATTATTTTCAACTTACCTGGATTTAAAGAAAAGTTTTTTTTCATCCCAAGCATAACAAAGCACAAAAGAGAGATACAGTTACCTATTTTGCATCCATTTTTTTTTTACTACAAATACTCACCTAAGAATGCATAAACAAACTGTGCCTCCTGATGTGAGTCTGCAGAATCCAAATCTCTGCTTACTTTCAATGTCTGTCAGTACAAAGGTAAAGTGCTGTCCAACTTGATTCTGAGACACCCTAAAATACAGTCACGTTATGAAACAATATGTCTTGGGTGACAACTTTCTTCAAGAAAAACAAAAGCAAGAATATATTCATAAGTGACATTGGTTTCAACTTTCTAATCAGCTGGTTCTTGAAGCTAGAACAGTGTTCCAAAACTAAAACAAGTGTGAAATACGTAAGGTAAACAGCAAAATAAGTTGCCATATCTCATAGACCGAAGAGTTCAGCACATAGTAATCTCTCACTAGGAAATCATAAGGTAGTCTGCCATAAATTTTCATGACTAAAAGTGCTCATATTTCATAAATTATCAAAATATTATTACTGAAACTGTAGAAGTAGGAAGCTAGACATGATGACTAAGTCTTTTTCTTCAACTCTAGCCTTTTTCCTAATTATCCTAAAATCGCTTAGATAGCAAATCATGTTGCTTTAGAATCTAATGGCAACCACCACCACCAACTCTGTTTAATTGCTTCTCCTGTTGGCATTCTCACCCAATAAAGTACCCTACAAAAATACTCTTGGTATTTTTTTCCAGAATTCTCTTGTAGAGATATCAACATAATACTGAGGAATAAATTTCCAAGTACAAAATAAGAATATAATTTCTACCAAAGTAAAAAAAAGGCTTACTGGTTAAGCTATAAAGAATTTTAGTCAGCTAATCATACTACCATAATATGTGTCACACTTTGGTATAAGGGGCAATATAAAACATTAGATTGAATCTTTATTTCTATTTAAAATATATGAATATATTTCCCAGTACTGGCTGTAATCTTGCCATTAGATAACCATAACTGAACTTTTGCTTCCTTGTCCCAAAATAAAATATCCATGAAGCCTAAACTTTGGTTTTGAAATAGTCATAGGAATTGTGCAGAAGGAAACAAATTACTGCCAGTATCCAGTATCAATGCTACAAACAGTTTTGTAAGGAAATGTTGCATTGCAAATGCTGAACATTTAACAAACACACTTTTGGGTAGACAGGTTTTCTTACACTTTAATGAACCTAAAAAACAAAACAACATCCTCTAGTGACAAATGTGACCTCTAGTGCCCAAGGTTCATAATATCCTTTTTGTAGCTGGATCCTAAATCTTCCTTTATGTTATCATTACTATTAACATGAAATTTGTAACTTTTTTAGTGGGGCGAGGGCTTTAAAGATAAAGCCTACTGAATACTTACTAGTACTGATTAGTCCATCATTCAGAAGACTTTATCTTTAATACAGTAAAATCAAAAAGTCTCACTAATATTTACTTCAGCAAGGTATTTTCCTAAAATATTCTTTCTAAAAGCCTTCATATCACACTCTTAAAAAAAACTGATAATAGAGTCTAAAAAAATCACATGAAAAATAATAAATGATCTGCTGTTATGCTCAAAGGGCTATATATTCCATGAAATTTCAACTGTATGCAATGTCATCATTCAGTATTTGTTCAGTGAAATATAAAAATAAGATTTTCAAAACTAGAAGAGTTTCCCCATAGCCCTCCATAATTCTATGAATTCTATGAAGCTATTCTTGAGAAACAAGTAGCCATGAGTTTTACATGACACAGATGGTCTTTTCAATTAGGATGAAGTGAGATAGAAACCAGGAAACATACATTAAGACATAATTCTAAGGCTCTGATCAAGGTCATATTAATATGTTTTTTCCACTAGTGCTCACAATTTCTACCTGAAGAATAGAGAACAAAGGCAAAACATAGAACCTATTGGCAATAGTGTTTTCAGACTTGTCTTAACTGGTCATAGTAGAGAAAATAAAAGATGTGATTTTAAAAGGCTTCCTCTTCCACATATTAGTATTTTTTTCAATTAGTATATTTTTCAATCTCTTTTCAATCTCTAGTATTTTTGTGAGAAGCAGTAAAGAGAAGGTACATTTTATTTTATAAAAAAGCACATTTAGTCATTTTAAAGTATGTACTAAAATTAGCTAAATTTATTTAAATGATACTTATACTGTACCTTTCAACGTCAAAGGGAAAACAGAACTTTGGCACACTCTGTAGTATTTCCTACAAATGGAAATTTTTAAACAAATAAGTTTTAGAATATTTTTTAAGATGAAGTTAAAACTTTTTTGAGCTATTTTCTAGGGAAAAAAAGTTACTTTCTTTGTCCTTAAGAAAAATAGCACAGGTTCCTAGACTAAAATAATTGATTATTAAAAAGGAATTAAGTTTGTGCTTTGGCAGATTGCACTGACAATGCCACAGAAACCCCAGGGGGGAAAGGCCTGGCCTGAAGGGTATTAACACCCTTCACATCCCCGCTGGGATTCCCTTCAACAAGGCCATATGGATTTTACAAGAAGCACCGCACCATATGGGTAAGCTACGTCTGCTGCTACTTGTACCGCAGTCTAGCCATAGGGACTTCTGACAGATCCTGGCTCAAAAATATAAATGTTGTTTCAATTAAAATGCAGGCAGAGAAAAGGGAATGAAGTTGGCAGCAGAATGAATTACCGAGAGGTATAACAACTCTACATGTACCATAGTCAAACAGTTTAAAAAAAAAAAAAAAGAGAGAGAAAGACTTTCTATAGCCAAAGAAACATATTTACATGATTCAACTCTTGGTATTAAGTTTTATCTTAACACTCTTAGAGAAATAATGTATCTAAAAACAAGCTTTCAAAAATACAGCTTCTATTCTGTGCACTTTCATTTAAGAATTGCCTAATGTGAAAATCAATGCTTTAATAAAACACAGAAAATAATCTGAATGATTTTGAAACCTTTAATTATTTTACAGTCATGAAAAATAATTTAAATATCTTTTAGAAACCATACACATTAACAACTATAACATACAAATAACTATCAGCTAAAAATCTATTCTGATATATTTGAAAAATAACTTAAAATTAAGTCTGATTCAAAAGTTAAATTTTAAACTTGAAGACAACATTATACAACTTCAAAGTCAGGCAATTTTCCAAGACAAAGAGTTTTATAAGGATATTTCCTATTGAAAAGAAAAAAGAGCAAATATCCAGCCATCCTCACTGAACAATATTTTCCCTACCACCTCTTTGCCACTAAAACAAAGGTCTACAGAAATTATCAATATCCGAATATTTAAACCCCATATATAAATATAGCATTGAGTGTTTTAAAGTAGAATTTCTTGCATTGTTTTAAAAAGGTAGACTACAATAAAGTGTCAACTAAAAATAAAGCATTATAAAATTTCAATACTAATACCTAAGAAAGCTTCAAGTGCTTTAACGCACACAAGCAGAAAGAAAAGAATCTTGTTAAAAACAAAAAAGCAAAACAAACAAACAACAAAAATCTTCTCCTAGGGCAGGATACCCTGAATTGCTTATAATCATGTACCTTTAAAAGTATGAGCACAGACTCCATAGTAAGAGAAAGCCAACTGTTTCACTACTGACAATATTTTGTTCAATGTAGTTAAAAGGGTCACTAAACTTGCCATAAGTTAAATTCCACAAACTGAGAAACAGCTCATTGCAAATGAGATCAGTTCATTTTCATTTGACCATTGCTTAATCCTTATCTTGTGCTTCATAAAGTGAAACCATTCACCATTTTTACTATACATGTGAACACCATTCAGAACTCTTCCTGTAAAACTGTCCACATAATTTCTATAACAATAAAGAATATATATTCAAAATGCAATGTCTGCCTCTAAATACACAAATCAGTAATATATTTCACATTAATTTTAAGACTCAAATTACGAAGAATGCTTCCCAGTTAGTTGCCCAATCTTTCACGCCCTCCCCCTCCCTTCTTCCACAAGTAACACACATGCACACACTTCTGCAAAACAGCCTCAGCTCGCTTCCCAACTGGCAGAAGCATCCCTCAGGGGACAAGTCTTTAAACCTCCGCACTCTTTAAAATTCAGCCAGCCAGCAGGTCTATAGACTAGTGTATAAACAGTATAGACAAAAAAAAAAATCCTCTCTCAGCTTATGTCAGTGACAAAGCAGCTCAGCAGTTGACTGTTTCTCCCCTGACAGTATAAACTGGGTTTACACAGATCAATAGCTGGAAGTCCTACCTAGCTCCCAGGGCTTGGTTTTCTTCCTTAATTACAGGTGCTATTGAAACTGAAGTGTAAAAAGAAAAGAGAGAGGCTTGGAGGGAGGCATAAAATGCATGCAAATAGCTTTTATGGATCCTCTTAGCAATAGTATTAATTGAAAATTCTACTTCTACATTTATTACAAAAGCGTTTATAAAGACTGGTATTTTCACTACGCAGTATTTTTAATATGACACATACACAAACACACACACACACAAAATTCTAGGTTAGCAACCACGGATTATGTGAAACGTTTAAGTCAATACTCTCCAGAAGTTATCAGCTTCTCCTTTTTCTACAGACTTTTGCTTTTAAAGAATATTCCTTAGCCAAGAAAAATTATTTGGATTTCAGAATCCTCCTAACTCTCCAAAATATTTTATTTTTATGCCAAAAGATTATATTGGCCAACACATGTAAAATGATAAAAACAGGAATAACAAACAAAAAGAATGGATGAAATAGAATACACAATTATGGACAGCAAAATGAAAGGGGTAATAATACATATTTCTGTGTATGTCCTAAAAAAGCACATCTACTACCGTATTAATGACTGGAAACAAGGACTGATGAAAATTCATCTGTTGGGGGTTTTTTGGTTCCATGCCAGTGTATCTCTAGTAATAAGCATTACAATGAAATTGATCTTGTAAGAGAAAAGAGAGCCAATTGCTAGTGTTATAGTGGTATATTAATTATTTATCCCATCAGGTTACCATTTAGCACCATAAACTGATCAACTGAAAAGGAAAACAAGCATTTAATAAAGAATTTACATTTTTTTAAAAAAATCACTAAAGTTTACATCTTGATCAAAGTTCTTAGAATTTCTTCTTAGAACAAAGGTCTTTGAATATCTGAGAAAAATGTAAGATAAAATGAGATGTGTTATTGTTGATATCAGTAATTGTTTTTCCTCCTCAACCACTTTGTCCTCCACTCTACACTGAAATTCTGGTGTTCTCTGAAATTCCAGTTTCTTCTCTTCCCGACTCAATAAGACATAGCTGTAAGCAATCCTATCTACACCCATAGTTTCAACTACAACTAGGAAATCTCTTAGTTTTGTAGTTTAGTTATTTCTCCAGGATTATGGCTCTAACTACTTTCTGGTATCACTTTCCAAATGTTCCCAGACACCTCTAATGAAGAATGTACAAAACTGAAGTTGTTCTTTTAGTTATGGTCCTTAACACCTAAACTGGCAGCACCACATACCTAGTTACCCAAATCAGAAACGTGGTAGTTAACTAGACCCCTCCTTTTCCCTGACCCCCACATATAATTAATCACTCACCAAGTCCTTTCATTCAATTTCATAACTATCTTGCTCCAGAGGTTCTCAATGGAGGGTGGAAAGGATTAGAAAGAAGATGAGAAGGTGTTAGAATCACTTGGGAGTATTTTTCAAAACACAGATTTGATTGCCTACATTGTAAACCCACAAAGATCCTGAATCTTCAGTTTGAATAGCACCTATAATTAAATGGTATCTATAACAGTTAAGGGTACTTAATGTATATAAGGAAAAGTTATACTCTCATAGCAAGAAGTGACATGGTTGACTTGTTCAGGATCTGTTTAATTCAACATCTACCTCATGGACTCAAGAGTCTTCTGTCTCACCCTGCTGGGCTAAATTTGCTGGCTTTTTCCTCAGTTATCTCTACTCATGATCACAAAATGAGCTTCCAGAGTTCAGCACATCCCAACGAGATACAGCAGTGTTCAGTGAAATAAGCCTCTCTTTCTGTCAGTCTTACCGGTGAGGAAACCTTTCCCAGAAGTCTGATCCCTGACTTTCCCATTACATTTAATTAGCCACAGGGCCATAAGCCACTCCTAAACTAATCCGTGGCATAGGAAATGGTTATCTGTGTTCAGTTTAGCCTTAGACTAGTTAGAGTAAAATTCTGAATTCAACCCATTCATCTTCCAATAACCATGACCCATGTAATTACAGAGAAAAATAAGTGAAGTATCATATTTTATTTGAGAATCCTTATAATCATATCAAATAATTACATTTATAGTAAAGTTCTCAATAAAAATATTATACAATATCATATGAGGATGATTTTTAAATATCTATAATTTTATTCATGTGAATAACACTTTCAGAATCATTTTGTACAATTAAACAGGCTACTTGTCCATCTTAATCTAACTTTTCACAAAGGCCATAAATTTCTAAAAATATGATTACTTAATTTTGAATATTATCTCCCAAATAAGTGAGAATTACCTAATACTACATATTCATTCAATTTATTTGTGCTTTACACAAGAGAGTAACAAACTTAACAAAAAATAAATAAATAAACTGAGCTATTTAAAGCAGGTTTCATTGCATGGCACAGAACTGAGATTCCCAAACAGCACTTAGATGTTCCAGGACACCATAGCAAGCTCTCAAGGTTACTGTGAGATATTTAAATTTTCAAGGGAAACAAATCTATATTAACAGGGTGACTAAGTCAAGGTGCATTTTATAGAGATGACTATATTAATTTGCCAAATAACAGGCATAGCCTCTCTATCTTTTATTTTTTAAGACGTGTTCTACTCCCACTTATGAGTGAGAACATGCAGTATTTGGTTTTCTGTTCCTGTATTAGTTTGCTGAGGATGATGGTTTCCAGCTTCATCCATGTCCCCTGGAGAATATATTTTTCAAACTTAGAGCCAAAAAGGAACTGTCAGGACAACTATGCCCAGTGTGGAATTTTTCTCTTGGATTTTACTTTTATATAGTGTTTTAGTTAGAAATAAATCTCTTTTACCCCTCCTCCTTAAATTAGGGAAAGCACTCTAAGTCTGTGAATTCCAACACTAAAACTACTTAGGTTGTTGAATCTGATCAAGCTATTTGTCACTATCAAGAATTTAAAATAAATTTCTACTATTAGAATATTAAAATAACTGCCATGAAGCAAATACATTC